TATAGCAAAGGGCCTGCCTCCTCATTCGGCATTCGGGTGCTGGCTGCATGCTGCGAAAGCGCTGCTGCGCTATTTGCTGGCTGGCACTCACGCTCTCACGGGCGAGCAGGAAGGAGAGGGCAGCCATAGCCGAGCTGCTCCGCTGTGAGCTGGGTGTGGCGCAGGGTGGTCCTTGGGTGCTGGTGGCATCTTTGTGTTGGGGAACGAGGTTGTGAGTGAAGCGAGAGATATACCAGGTGCTGGAAGCGTGCAGCATTGGTTGCTGTATGCTCGTACTTCAGAAGAGCTGTTGTCATCAACTTCGGCATTGTAGTATAGACTGGATAGGATCTGCCACATGTAGTCTGGGCGCCGAGCGCCAGATAGGATATCAACTCTGGTGCTTCGTTGATGATGATGATTGGACTATTTCAGCATTGTCAATTATGATCTCTTGGTGTGATCTTATTCGGTGAAACTCATGATGCAATTCTGCTGTTGGTTCGAGGTCACGACTATCCGGACTCATATGTATGATGCTGTTTGATTGCTGAAGTTCGCTACTGCTCATCTTCCGTGCAATTTGGTATCGGAGCTGTGGTACGATTGCGCTCATCTGGCGTTTGTCTTCTGCCTTATGCGGTACATACATGCGGTCTGCTTGGCGAGTTTGGCCGTAAGTGGTGTGTAGTGAGGAGGGTGGAGACGAGTGTAGTGGCGACCCAAGAGGTGAGGGGATCGCCAGGAAGGCTAGGTGGGGGAAATGTGGTCTGGACAGTGATGAGAACTATCTAATGTGCGATTGATGCTGAGGTGGAACGGCAAGATAATGCTGGTTGTGCCGATGCAGTGACTGGTCATCGCAATCGCCATCTGGTCATCTGGTGAGATTATCTTTGTGGTTGGGGGCAGCTATTTGAGGTACGTTGCTCTTAACCTTATCTACCCTCTTCGACACTTCTTACCGTGAGGTTGTGTTCCTTCTTGAGAGTCCTCTCATTGTGAGGTGTCGAGTGCGCTCAACCTTGAGAGTCGGCAATGTTCACGTGAGCATCTGGGAGAAGATGGGCGGAGCTTTCTGAAGGGCCCTGGACGAAGCACTGGGTCACGGTCAACATGCCAACCCACCGGGAGTAGAGCACGCATGCTTTGCTGCTTGTCCTTGTTTGGCTTGCTGCGCTGTTAGATGGGTACTGAAGGGCAGGCCAGCCCTTGAGGGAGACGAGACCGGCGTCTTTAAATAAGCACCGGAAGGGGAACCATTGGTTGTGATCGTCGTCCGGCTGCGACATAAAATAATTCCTGGAGTCACTTGGGGGCGGACGTTAAATTGCCTCTGGATCAGCCAATGGTTGTAAGGCTCGCTGCATGCGAGGATAATCCAGTGCAGGGCTGGCCAGCTCAGCAGATACTCGGGGCACAGGGGTGGGCCAAACACACACCTTTTAGACACGCAACGCCTCCGGATTGCTAAGGAATGCTGACGTCAAGTGATACCCAGGGGAACTAAGGGAGAGGTAGATTTCAAGTGACAAGTTTGAGAAAAATTCCATGCTGTCCTATCCACACAAATGATTCTATTTTTATGTTTTGATTAGTTAGGTGTACAGCCATTGACATCTGAGATACAGCATTAGTTAGAACTGTTTCTTGTTCATAGTGCCTCTGTTTGCGAACTAGTCAAACTAAAAATAGTTTCATTTGTAGGAATCTGACTTACCTGTTGACCTCAACTGATATTTGTTCCAAAGTAGCAACCAATTAGTTGGTCTGTGCACTACGCTGCGGTAGGCATTCAGTGTGCATTAGTGCAGATTGTGTACAGTGCTGTAGCTTATGAGCGACAGGGAGGAACAGCAACCGGACGACCGGATGTTGCGATCGACAAGGCGCCCGATTGCCCACTTTGCATTAGGTCCAGAGGGTGACAGATACCTGTTCCGCCAGCGTAGAGAAGGGTTGCAGCAGCAGAGGAGGGCTAGAGCAGCAGAGGCTAGCAGGGCACTTGTGAGTGAGGCCGCAGCTTCGGAAGCCATGGCCACTTCAGCGCAGCAGACCTCTCAGACCGGTGGTTCAGGGTCTGTCGGGTCAACGGTCGCGCAGACCCAGAGTCAGTCCACTGGCGTAATGACGAGCCAGCCATTGGTGTTGACCTCCGACAAGATCGCCATACAGGAGGCAGCTCTGAAAAAGGCACAACTACAGCATGCATTAGGACAGATAAAAGTGGAGAAGGAAAGAATGATTAGAAGACGAGCTAGGATGCAGAGTAGAGAAGCGGACGTTAGTGAGTTAGAGGAGATGGACCTAACGCACGTAACGGATGATGTGAGGATCATCCGGTCTGTCCTTGCGAATGTAGTGGAGATGCAGGACCAGCAAACAACCATCCTTCACGACATCCAACAGAGTCCGGCCATGTTGGTTGGGCGAGCGCCAGCAACGTCGCCAATGTCCGGGCCGGGTGCCTGGCCCGTTGTACATCCTCCTCCTTATGTCCCACCGGTGCCTGGGGTATCCCCATATGTAGCCCCATCATCGGTCGCGATCGTTTCCCTGGGCATGCCGCTTTCAGGAGGGGTAATAGCAGGAACTAGTTTACAGGTTCCTGTACAGCCAGTGTACACCCAATCCCCGTTGCAGGTTGCAGTCACTATGCAGCCTGCTGTCTCGCAGCCTGTGCAGCCGCAGGGCACACAACCCCAGCAGCTAGCACAGCAACCTGTGTCACAAGGGTCCACAGCCCGGAGGGATGCAGGGACCGGGACAAACACAGTGGGTTCCAAAGACGGCCATCGCCGCTCCCAAACCTTTCAAAGGAGATGAGAGGGGCGAAGACCTCGACACGTGGTTGAGGGCAGTGTCGGTCTACGTCAGGTGTAAACTTACCTTGCCGCACAAAGAAGTGCTTGTGGCTGCCTCCTACCTAGAGGGTAGTGCAGCGAGACGGTTGAGTGGTTTAGTTCAGCTCCAGGGGTATGGTCATGACTTCCGCGCTTGGGCAGTCACCCAAAAATTGGACGACTTCCGTAAGCTGGTGGAGGAAAGGTGGCATGATCCTTAGGAGGCCCAAAGAGCCACTGACGCGATCCTGACACTGCACACACGGCAGTTCAAGTCAGTACGGGAAGCCACCGACGTTGTTGAGTGTCTGATCTGTGTCCCAGGGGTGCGCGATGACCCCCAGGTTCTACTCACCTCCTACCTGAGATGCTTCTCTTTGCCTCTCAAGAACCAGTTGGCAGGTGAGGCCAACAACAATATGCACAACTTCCCTTCGTTTAGCAAGAAGGCCCTAGACCTTGAGGCGAAGATAGGGCATGGACAGACACCCACAACGGATGGTAGGAGAAAGACACTGCCTCCTAACAGGAAGGCGAAAGGGCGCATTATGTTTGTTGATAACGATGGTTCAACCATCGAACTAGACGAACACTTCCAGGAAGGAGTAGGTTCAGAGGCTGGAAGTGCAGAAGCTTCAGAGGGTGGAGTAGTCGTTGCCGTAGCTCAGAAAGGTATTGCGACCGGTAGACGCCATGGAGGCTCCCGGTCAAGGAGTCAAGTTGACCCCAACGCTCCCCCATGGGAGAAGGCGGGTCTTTCAGAGGACGTGTGGAGAGATCGGTACACTCAGCAGGCTTGCATTCGTTGTGGCCAATACGGCCATAATAAGTTCAAGTGTCGTAACAAAAAGATGACCGACAAGATACCACCTACGATGGGGCAGGCGGTAGGATCCTCCCATCCCGTGGGTAGCAACGTCGCTAGTACTTCTGGCACTGCTCCGGGAAACACGTCGGGCCAGTAGGAATAGTAGTTGTTCCTACTAGGGTCGAGGTGGTGGAGACACCCTCACCATCTCGAGAGATGGCCCAAGCTACTGACTCCAGCGTCGTCCCGCAAACTCGTTCAGACCCATCGAGCCTCTGTTCGATGAATGTGTTCGAGTCCTTAGAGGAGCTAGAGGAGGAGTGGTCTAGATCAGACCCGTTAGCTTCTTGGACGGCCCTAATCAAAGCCCCGAAGGGTGAGATGTTCGTCAGCGAGATAGTCATTGGCGGCCGCAAGGCCGGGGCCTATTATGACACTTGCTCGACTAGGAACTTTATTGGTCGCGCGTGCGTTGAGAGGTTGCGCTTACAGGGGCAAGTGCAACGCCTGAGTCGACCTGTGGTACTCAATGACTACCTCTAGGATATAGAGTGTTGTTTCCCGTACGCAGGAGGGGAATTGAGACATCGCGTCTCGTTCCTAGTGAGTGACGAACTCCCCATGGATATGCTGTTAGGTATGTACTACCTCTCAGTGGCACAACCCAGTTTGACTGGAACCGAAAAGTGGTCAAACACATTTTGCCAGGTGGAGGGACCGCCAGATTGCATAAGTTCAAAGCTAGTAGTCTGATTGAGTCCCATGGATGCATGTGTGCGGCCGCATTCTATAACTATTATAAGCCAAATCAGGAGGAGGGTATGTACTTAGTTTATGTCTCTACTGCAGGCGAGCCGGTGAAAATGCCGCCCGAGATAGAGGGAGTAGTTGCTAAGTACCCTGATCTATTTGAAGAGCCGACAGGGGTTGTAGAGAGGGAGGTCGTCCACGCGATAGAGATTATCCTAGGGTCTAGCATCCCAAAGGGTAGGATCTATCGGATGTCTCCAGGCGAGCTCGATGAGCTTCGCCGACAGCTCAAGGAACTCATAGAGAAGGGGTTGATCCGACCGAGTGTCTCTCCTTATGGATCTCCAGTACTATTCGCACCTAAGATGGAGGGCACACTTAGGATGTGCATTGACTATAGGGGCCTCAATGCCATCACTGTAAAGAACAGAGAGCCCCTACCGCGCATCGATGATCTGTTAGATAGAGTGCAAGGGTGTCGGTACTTCAGTAAGATAGATCTGGAGTCCGAGTACCATCACATTGCAATCCGGCCCGAGGATCAGCACAAAACCGCTTTTCAGACCACGTACGGTCTGTACGAGTTTGTGGTGATGCCTTTCGGCCTTTGCAATGCTCCTGGCACCTTTCAGCACGCTATGAGTCGGATATTCCATGACTACTTGGATATGTTTGTCATCGTGTACCTCGATGACATACTTATTTTTAGTAAGACTATCGAGGAGCATGTTGCACATTTGGACAAAGTCCTCAGTCTCCTGCGGCAGCACAAGTTCAAGATCAACGGTGAGAAGTGTGAGTTTGGCCGCACCCGTGTCTTGTACTTGGGTCATGAGATTTCCTCTGAAGGGTTGAAGCCCGATGACGTGAAGGTGGCCAGCATTCGTGACTCGCCGCATCCTCAGTCTATGACTGAGATGAGATCTTTCTTAGGGATGACTGACTACTATCGCAACTTCGTGAAGAACTATAGCATAGTTGCCGCCCCCTTGACTGATCTGACCGGCCTTGACACCCCATGGGAGTGGACTGAGAGATGCAAGGCTGCTTTCAGACATTTGAAGCATGCGTTGACGCATTACGAAGTCTTGAAACTTCCTGATCCTGATAAGCCATTTATAGTAACTATGGATGCTAGCCAATATGGCATAGGCGCCATACTTGCAAAACAGGAGGAGAAAAAGTTGAGGCCCGTAGAGTACATGTCCAAAAAGATGCCCTCTCAGAAGTTGGCCAAGTCCACTTATGAGAAGGAACTCTATGCAGTGTTCAAGGCTCTAACCCATTGGAGACACTATATCTCCTTGGGAGGTTCTTTATCCTCAGGACTGATCATCAGACCCTGAGATGGATGAGAACCCAGTCGGTACTCTATGACGCTCTCAAGCATGGCATCGAAGTCATAGAGCAGTATGACTTCGAGCCCCAGTACATCAGGGGCGAGTACAACAAGGTTGTTGATGCCTTGTCGCGTAGACCAGATTTCTCTTGTGCGCTGATCACTGAGTTTGGGCTTGCGGACAACGTTACTTTAGTCGTTGGTGGAAGCCTATCGTGAGGACCCGTTTATGGCCGAGGTCATACGCAGACTCGAGGCCAAGGACAAAGAGACTTCTGCCGAGTTTGAGTTGGTCAACGGCCTGCTGTTCCTTGAGAAGGCAGGGAATAAACGATTGTGTGTCCCTAATAGCGAGTCTTTGCGTAGTTTATTTTTAGGTGAGTGCCATGATGCCACCGGTCATTTTGGATACAAGAAGACTGCAGCTAATCTGCTGCAGCGGTTCTGGTGGCCCACGATGATGCGAGATGTCCAGCGGTACGGGGAGACATGTCAGGTCTGTCAAAGAGACAAGCCACGTACTCAGGCTCCTCTTGGGCTCTTAAAGCCCCTTCCGATTCCGGAAAGGCCTGGTGAGAGTCTGTCCATGGACTTCATGGATACGCTGGTTACCAGCAAGAGTGGGATGAGACACATCTTCGTGATCGTGGATAGGTTTAGTAAATATGCTAGGTTGATAGCTATGTCGTTGACTGCTAAAACCGAGTATGTAATCAGACTGTTCAAAGAGAACTAGGTCAGGGATTTTGGGTTGCCCAAGTCCATAGTGAGTGACAGGGATGTCCGATTTACCAGTGAGTTGTGGAAAGCTGCTGTTGCCGAGCAGGGAACTCAGTTGCAGATGACTTATGGGAATCACCCAGAGGCGAACGGTCAGGCCGAGCAACTGAACCGCGTTGTACAACACCTGTTGAGGCATTACATCAAGCCCAACCAGGTGGACTGGGATGAGAAGCTTGCTCTCATCGCCAGTCTGTACAACAACGCTGTACACAGCGCCACCGGGGTGAGCCCAAACAGCTTACTGCTAACCTTCAAGCCTAGACTGCCCTTAGATTTCCTTCTTCCTGAGAATCAGTCCACTGCTGCACCGGGTACCTTAGAATTTGCTTATCGGTATGAACAGAAG